CAACACCTACAGAGGGAGAGAGAGAGCGGAAAGTGACTGCATTGCTTAGAGTTGGTTGACTCTGCAGCATTTGGCTAGATTCAGATTGGCTGCATTCTACGCTAACTTTACTAGTAACCGTTACATGTTCGCTATTCCTAAGTCGTTGGGCCATTAGGCTTCTTAATTGTGACAGTATTTGAAGGGAAACTCTGGTCCAGCGGATGACAACATTTGCGTAGAGCTTACATATGGGTATTTGTGGGAGGTCTGCCACTTACCTTTAGCAGGACCTCTATGTTCACAGGGCCCGGGTCCAGCTGAGCCCCAGCGGGATCAAACATGACATCGAAGCTGCACGCGTCAAAGACAGGAGCACCAAGAAGTTGACAGCTGCCTTCAAGGCTAAAGCTGAAACCACAGTCCAGGGCGGTTTGCCTTCCCGTCTTCTCCAACTGCAATTTTGCTTTGAAGTTGCCGAGATTAATCAGCCGAATCGTGCGAATGGGAGTCTGAGCGAGGATTGTGAGTCCAAAATCCAACACATATTCTGGCAGGCATGGTCTAGTTTGATAGACAGAAGCAATCGCTGATGAAACTACCAGAGGAGTCTAAGTGGTTTCATCAACTCGTCTTCTCTTCCGATTCCTTTTTTTATCTATAGAAACTTTAGTCATCTTTTTTAGACCTTCACTGCTTTGATAACTGAACAGATACCATGAATAGAGTCATGAAATTCATGCAGTTTTGGTACCGTTTCGTCCTACATATCCGTGTTCTTACCTACGCGAATGTCACAACCCATTTTGCCATAAGGATCAAAAATTTTTAAGAAAAACACAGGCTAAATAGAAAACCTAAATATCGCCAAACCATACAGTTCCTGGGAAGAAATACTTCGGTATTAGGCCTCTCAGAAAACAAGTGTATTCACTAGATGACAAGTTGGCACTGCAGAACGCCCTTCCTGCTTGATTTCTAACCTCCTATAATTTTTGTCTAAAACTTTATAAAACATACTTCGATAACCTTCCTTGACGCAAACCAGAAAAGAACCAACTTCGTTTTCTATCAGTGAAATAATAAGTTCCATGTACACACTACAGAATCCTAGCATTTTACGACATCTAAACAACCACCTAGTGGGTTTATCATGGGTTGTTGTAGTTATGCTGTCGGGCGATTCCTATTTGTTTACTGTTCACATATGAATCCCACGGTCTCATTTTGAAAAACCAGACATCTCACTCTATGGCAGCAGCACAAAAACGGGTAATTTGATATTTTAAAAGGAAAACATAACTGAGAGAAGTAAGTAAATGGAAAAGATCCGCGGCCAACTAAATTCGAACAGAGGAGGACTGTTATTTCACGATCCAGTAACTGGGCTTTTGGACTACTCGAGTGCAACCTGTAGATGCATTTTCGGATAGAGGGATCTTCTAGACTGATAAATAGTCCCGCAGTTCTAGTCAGAAAGAAGGGCAGTTGGTTATCTGAACTGCTGACAGGTATCATGTCCTCAAGTCAAATGCAGGGAATCCGGTGTGAAATTGGTACTAGCACGCGTGTTTAATATACCTTGGAGACATATTTAGTAGGTTAAGCTCGCTGAAATCTGACCAATATTTTAGCTTACCTACAATCGAATGCTGGTGAGAAACAAGGAGGTAATACCGGAAAATACCGGGTTAACACTAAGAGGCCCTAGGCGAATATACTGCCAACAGGGATTTGACTATTGTTTTAGGGAAGAGTACTCGGTGCCATAACACTGAACACAAGAACGTCAGTGACCCACACGGCATCTATGAACTCACTGATTAGATGTGTTTAGCGGTTACCTAGGGGTTTTTCAGACCTTGCTTTGTTGCATCAGGAGCATAAAAAAGCAACCTGCACAACAAGTGCAAAGGATGGAAACGATCATAAAGCCAAAATTTTAAGCGACATCAAATAGTAGATGCACGACATCCCAATGATTAGATACAACTATTTACTTGAATTGGATAGAACTATGCAAGGCGTCCAGCAACTACGAGTGTTACAGCACGAAACTTGTTTCAACACTGCAGATGCCGATCCTGTCGACTTCATTGCAGCCCTGGAAGCTATGCTTGTGAGAAGTGAAACATCCGACGACATGAAACACTTCGTCCGACAGCGTGTTACCTCCTTGCTGATGACACACAGACCAACCAAATGTATTTCGCAGAGTGAGTCAAAGGCTATGAGGGAACTGAGGAGGGATGACAGCATTATCATTCTACCTGCTGACAAGGGACGATCAACCGTCGTGATGAATAGAGAAGACTATAATGAAAAAGCTAAAGCCCTTCTTGACGACAGAGAATTTTACAGACCAGCACAGAAGTCACAAGCCAAAGCAGTGGCGGATCGGCTGAGTAAACTGCTGAGAGAATACCGACATAAAAATGTGATCACGGAGAATGAATGGCACCAAATGAGGGCAACTGACACCGCTCTAGCCCGATTCTATGGTCTGCCAAAAATCCATAAAGCAAAGTTCCCACTTCGGCCAATCGTTGCCCTAAAAGGCAGTCCCACCTACAATTTGGCAAAGTGGATGTACTCAAAACTGAAGTTCCTCCAAGGCAATTCGACTACCTCAGTTCGATCAGCCTCTCAATTCCTCATAGACCTCTGAGGTCGGAGAATTCAATCGGACGAAATCATGGTCTCCTTCGATGTGACGTCGTTATTCACATCCATCCCACCAAACGTGGCCCGCGAAGTCTTGCGCAAGAGACTTGAAGAGGAGTACGATGAGACTCAGAATGCCCTCAAAATTGAACACCTCATGAGGCTGTTTGAATTCTGCCAACAAACTTTCTTCACTTTTGCGGGAGAGACTTATGAACAAATAAAGGGAACCCCAATGGGCTCACCGGTCTCCGGTTTGGTGGCAGAACTGGTCCTACAGGAGTTAGAAAAGCTTGCCTTCCTCCAACATGAACCGGTGTTTTGCCGAGGTTACGTTGACGACACGTTCGTCATCGTAAAGAAGGACGTGCTGCAACATTTCCACAGCCTGCTCAACGCAGTCTTCCCGGATATAAAATTCACGAGGGAAGAAGAACAGAAACAGCAGTTGCCCTTCCTGGATGTGCTCGTCAGACGAAACATTAACGGTGAACTTGAAACGACGGTTTATAGGAAGGCAACGAACACCACACAGCTTCTCAGTTTTCACAGCAACCATCCGGGGGCTCACAAACGAAGCTGTGTGAAGACGCTCTTCAAACGGATCCAAACTCATTGCAGCAAACCGGAGGACAGAGCACGTGAGGCCCGTTATCTCCGCGACCAGTTTGTGCAAAATGGCTATCCGAGGGCATTCATAAGTCGCTGCCTACGCGGTCGCCACCAGAGAACTCAAACATCAACGCCACCGACGATATGGCATTCTCTGCCATACATCAAGGATGTTTCAGAAGCGACCGAGCGCATTGCTGCGGAGCTAGGTGTTGGAATTGCACACCGCCCCAAAGCCACCATGCGCAACAGGGTCATGAAAATCAAAGACCGGTTAAAACCTGAAGAGCAATCTGGAGTAGTGTATCGCATTCCGTGTCAAAATTGTCCTTGTAATTACACAGGACAGACTGGACGCATGCTCGGATCGCGCATACACGAACATAAGCTGGCTGTGCGGCGAGGCGACGCATTATCACAAGTGGCTGCCCACACCTACGAGATGGGTCACGAGTTTGACTTCGCAGCCACCAAAATAGTCGCCCACACCGGAGACAAAACGGGCCGAAAATTGATTTAAGCCTGGGCCTCGGATGAGAGGTCAATCGATTTATCGATCTGGCGCCGGCGTACAGAGCTCTTCGTAGTCACCTCCAGTCGTGCGACGTCGGTCGATGATTGGGCCTACGTGCCTTATAATTGCCGCTTGTCCTGTTTCTGTCACTACCTCTGACGATGGACTCCTGTACGAGTCTGAAAGCTCAGGATAATAAACGAAGTGTTCCGGTGCTCGACTCTTCTTCAAACAAGAAAAAGTTATGCCTTGGAAGTGTCATCATATCACCCGTCGGATGCCTTCTTCGTGTGGTTTACTCTGTCAAGTGAGCCACTAAGAGCGCGCTTGTTGAGTGCATTATCGACCTCCTCTTAATGCTTTCCAGTGCGAGACTATTCTCATTCCAAGGACCTTCTTTTCGGCTTTAAAATGCATGCATTTTCTGTAGAAATGTTAGGTAACTGCGGTTTAGAATTTGCAAAGAGTGAAGGCAGAACGAATTTATATGAACGGAAGTGTTTTAGGACTGACTGAGAGTCATAATATCATATTCTACGGTAAGGAAGCCCTCTTCTAATAATCATAAAACGTAGACTGCCTGAAGTGTTTTGCTGTAGTTTTAATTAAAGGATTCCTTCATTCATTGCAGCGATAAGGGAAGGGGAGTTAGAAAAACAATAAACCACCGAGGAGTTAGGTTCCATTTTTGGCGAAAAAATGAAGACAAAGCAAGATTCATTCATCTTAGAGAGCCCCTGGGTTGCATGGAACTTATTTCACGATTACTTTCC